CGACTATGTTTATATAAAAAAAAGTACAAAATAATTCATAAATATGTAAAAAAAAACCCGGAATAAAACATGAATCTCGAGATAAAAGTTAACACGCAGACACGCACACACGTAGACATCACACACGCAGACACGCGCACACGCAGACATCACGCGCGCGCGTCGGCTCAATGTGAAGTCACGGACATCACGGGAGATCTGCGTGTTCGCCGACACCGCGGGAGGCATCTCTCGTGCCACCGCAGACCCAAGCTCACACCCCCACCCCACCCCACCCCTCTGAAGAAACTCGAACGCATTAAAAAGCGGAGATGGAACTTCAAAAGCCACCATTCAATCCTCATTTCATGTATGTTTAAATGAGGATTGAATTTCATTTAATTGAATTTCTCATTTCATGTTGAACTTCTTACGTAGCCAACCGTGCTAATCGGAGGCGCGGGGGGGGTCAACAACAAACTAAACACAACAAAAAAAATGTGTCTCAGATTCTCGAATGCGCTTCCATTTGTCTCATCATACAAACTGGAGGTGAAAACGATTCGCCCCTTCTCCCGCCCAGCCGACGGATTAGACTCGTCGGCGATTTGTGTCAGGGTCAGAGATTCGAGTTGAGAATCCGTGAGAGTTCTTGTTGGTTGGTTTGTTTAACACGTGGGCTTTCGCGACCCCCCCGACCCCCCCAAAAAATCGACTATTTACGGATGTGTTTTTTGGGAGTTTGTTTGAGATCTCGACGCCGAGAGGACTCTGTGGTCTCGCTGGTGGCCACAGCCCCGGCATGCCCGTGGGGGGGGGGGGGGTCCGTCTCTCCCACGCGACGTTCGTTTCCCCAGCCGCGGAGGGGGCGTTCGTGCTTTTACAGCAGCAGCAACAACAACAACAAATAACTACACCGTCAAAAAAAAAACACCTCCTCCCTCCCTTTCTCTCTCCCCATCCGAGACGCCCACAAACTTGCACTCCCCCCCTCCACCTCCACCTCTAACCGTGTTCGCCGCATCCCCCGCAGCGTCGTCAACGTCGCTTCGTCGTCGAGAGCCCCGACGTTCACACACACACAGAGGCACCATCCCCGCCCGGGGCTGCGTTACCATCGCCGTTAAAAAAGTTTCCCATCCGTCGCTCCGACCCCGGGGCGAGCCCAAGGAACGGGGCGAGCGACAGCAGAGCGAGGGGGTAAAACGGCGCGCGTTCAAGCGGTCGCTCGGGACCTCCTCGATCGCACGCAGCGCAAAATCGTCTGGGCGAGAGGCGGCCGTCGGAAATGGATTGTTGTTGTTGTTCTTCTTCTTCTTCTTCCAACGACCGCCCTCTCGCGGTTGTGGGTCTCCCCGTTGAGCCGCCGTGAGCCCTGCGTCTCTCGTCGGAGCGCTCGCGACTCCCGATTTCGGACTTGAACTCGGACGTCGCTCGCCGTCCCGACGGAGTGCACGGCCGAAGGGCGATGCCCGCTCTCGTCACAAACAAACCCCCCCACATGCCACTGCGCTTTGCTGGGGGGAACGTACACGGTGGTGGGGGAGGGGGTGCCACTCGGCTGGTCGCCGTCATCCCTTGCGGAGGGGATGGAGGTGGAGGGGGGTGATAACATACAGCAGCACTCTGTGCTAAATTAACAGCGGCTGTCCTGTGAATAGACTTGCCCCCTGCCATCACAATGTGGAATGTCTACCACGGGGCTCAGGGTCGCCATCAGAGATGAGCACCGTCCCAATGGGAGAGACACTGCTGGCTGTGTGGTTTTTTAAAGGTTTTTTTAGGCGTCCTGCGCGTTTGTTAGCTGCCTGTTACGGATGAAGGCGGATGGGGTTGGGGGGGGCACGGTGGGGGGGGGGGGGGGGGGTGAGGCATAAATCTCCCACAATAAATAGTTCCGTCTCCCTCAGCAAAACATTCCCCCCTCTCCGCCGCAATGGAACGTCCCGTGGCTGGTCGGTGAATGCGAGAAGCCCTCGGCAAGGAGCGGTCCATTCGCCCCGGAGAGGGGGCGGCGGGGGGTGATGCTTTGTTGGTTGTGGTTGCCGCGTTTTGGTAAAAGCCGTACACCTGGTGGTGGCTTCTGTGCTACCAAGTCTTTCGCTGCTGTAGATCTGCCTCCCGTGGGGGGGGGGGGGCAGCTGCGAGAGTCAAGCGAAAGCTCTGTAAATATTTATTTTAGTTGTATTTCTACTTATTACTTTATTACCAATTGTGCTATCAGCATCGTGTACAGTCACGAGACTACAAGATGCCTTGTCTTTTTAGTTTGTTGTCCTTCCCCCCCCCGCAACCTCCGATTAGCAAGGCCGGCCACGTACGGTGCGCGAAAGAAGATCAACGTACACACACACACACAAGGAACAGCTCGTGGAATTGACGACACGAAACCACTTCGAGGTCCACATTCGGCGGGGGCTGTGCGTCGTCTCACACGACCCCGCTCGGGATGCGTTTGTTGCGAGGCAATGGACACACACACAACAGGAATTTGCCAGATTAAGTAATTGGCGGCCGGGTTAAGACTCGCTTTGTTGAAAATATTCACCAAAAAATATATATCGTGAGCATTTCAAAACCCAGGATCCGAGCCCAGGAGGATTTCTCCCGAACTGCCTCGTAGGAGTCACTGACACGGCCATTGCGCACCCCCTCACTTTGAAATTCGCCCGGCCACCTCGTGGGAAAATAGAATTTGTGACGGGCAAGGGGGCAGCAGACGGAACGATCCTCGGAGGAATGTTCAGATTCCATTGGAGGGCTCGCGAGCGCTTGGCGCGTATCGCAGGAAGGGGGGGGGGCATGGACTCCAGCGGCCACAGGGACCTTGACAACGACGAGAAGCGACGACGCTTGCCACGGCCGTCATCGCCCCCGGTGCGACGCTCACAGATCTCCCCCCGCCCCCCTGAGGGTTTACACGGGGAGGGCAGGCCAGGGCAGGGGGAGGGGAGGGTAGAGTAGGGCAGGGGAGGGGAATGCAGGGTAGGGTAGGGGATGGGGAGGGCAAGGCTGGGCAGGGGATGGCAGGGGAGGGGAGGACAGGGCAGGGAAGGACAGGGCAGGGGAGGGAAGGACAAGGGCAGGTCAGGGCAGGGGCAGGCCAGGGCAGGGGCAGGGAGGGTAGAGTAGGGCAAGGCAGGGGAGGGCAAGGCAGGGCAAGGAAGGGCAGGGCAGGGCAGGGGAAGCGAGGCGGGGCGTGGGTTTGTTAGTAAACGCGGTTTCGTGTTTGACACGCGAGTGCGTGCACGTGCTCGTCTTGGTTAAAACAAAAAACGCAACCTCAACAATTTTTTTTTAAATCGCAAACAGTTCTCATCTTGAAGCTGCAACGGATTATTTGGTGACGCTGCTGCTACTGCATCAACCGTGCTGCCACAAGCACAAATGCCAAACAAAATCAATCGCCAATAACACTGCGTGGCCTCAAAATGAATAGGCGACGTTTCGAGCCATGGCCCTTCTTCATAGCCCTCGCAGCTGCGCTCAGCCGTGTGCCCCAGCACAACAAGCCGATAGATTCCACTTTGAGAATTTAAAGGCTTGAAAGTGACTGTCGGATGAAGCTGTTATTATGTGTTGACAACAGCTGTTATTAATGTTTTTGTTGTTGTCGTCGTCACGAACGTACACAAGACGAGAGCTGTTTGCGTTGTTCCTCGAAACGTGTTAGTGTCACTGCGGGGACCCTCCGACCCGGGGTCCCTCCCAGCTCGTCACCTCCCGAGCCGTTCAGGTTCGACATCTAAGCCTGGGCGCGTTCCCACTGCAGGGACCGTCGCGTCGACGTGTTAGTGAATCTCGCAGCGTCTCGCCTCCCCACCAGCCCTCCCTTACTCACGTGAACCTCGTTAAAGACACCACAACAACAACAACTGTCGGTCGCTCTGTGCCGGCGGCGACCTGAGCCGCGCGCGCGTCAGCCGGCACCAATCGTCATCAGAACACCTGTGGGTGTCTGTGTGTGTGGGTGTCTGTGTGTGTGTCTGTGTTGGTGGGTGGATGTCTGTGTGTGTGTCTGTGTGTGTGGGTGTCTGTAGATGTCTGTGTGTGTGGGTGGGTGTCTGTGTGTGTGGGTGGGTGTCTGTGTGCGTGTGTGTCTGTATGGGTGGGTGTCTGTGTGTATGTCTGTTTGCGTGTGTGTCTGTGTGCGTGTGTGTGTCTGTATGTATGTGTGTGTGTCTGTGTGTGTGTCTGTGTGGGTGTCTGTGTGTGTGGGTGTCTGTGCATGTGTGCACAAGCGAGTGTCTTTGTGGGTGTGCGTGGGAGGGTGGGTGGGTGCATCTTTGTCTTTTCGTGGGTGGATGTGCTCATGAGCATTCGGCAGCGTGTGTTTGTGTTTATGTCTGTGTGTGTTGAAGTTTGTTTGTGTTTGTGTGCCTGCGTGGTGTGTGTGTGTGTGTTTGCTCGGGTTTGAACAAAATAATAACGTACAACCCGATCACGTGGCCAACGTGGGCCGAGCCTTTGAGGTCCCGTCAAACGTTGATCACCAAAAAGTAAAAACAACAACAACAACACACGTACAATTTTCGCGTCGTCGGTGGCGTCCACCGGGATCTGCGGCCGTCCACTCGGCGGCTGCGAAAAACCTGGTCGGCTGAACTCCGAGGAACCGTCCCCTCCTCGTCTTCAAACCTCGTCCCCTCCTCGTCTTCAAACCTCGTCCACCCCCAACGCAGCGGCGTCCCGTAACGAGAACCCGCCTCGTCCGACCCACGCGGCTCTTTGCCGCCCCAACAACATCTGCGAAGGCACTTTTGTCCGCGTCCGTCCATCTTCGCTCTGCCACAAACTCCTTCCCCCCCTCCTCCCGCCGCTCCCGAGCTGCACGCGGTGCCCGGGCGTCCATGCGTCCCCACATCTCGGGGGTCGCGCGTCGTTTGGCACGACGTCCGACGTCCGACGTTTCGACGCTCCGCACGCCGGGAGCGCTTTCGAGTAATCGAGTTCAGTTCCCCCGCCCGCCCGCCCGCCCGCTCGCATCTCTCCCCGCTACCACCCCCCACCCCGCCCCCCGCCGGACGCGACCGCGAGAACCCCGCGGCACTCATGTGTTCTTCCCGACGCGCTTCGGGGCCTTCTGCCCCGCGGGGCCCTTGGCCTCCTTGACCTTGCGCCCGCCGGAGGAGGAGGCCGCCGCAGCCGCGGCCGCCGCGGCCGCCCCCTTGGGCACGAAGAACGAGTACTTGATGCCGATCGGCACGCTGGGGTCGAGCGACAGCGCCTGGACGGTGACGGGCTCGCGCAGCGTCCCGTAGCTCTGCAGCCTCTCCAGCGAGCCCGACGAGCCGCTGTAGAGGAGCAGCGCCCCGCCGGGCAGCGGGATGTCCCGCTCGTTCATCAGGTAGGGGCCCCCCGCGGCCCCCCGCACCGCCAGGTAGGTGCTGCTGGGCGCGCCGCCACGCCGCCCACGCTGCTTCACCTCCACGCTGGTGGCGCCGGCCGGAATGGTGACCACAGTGTTGTAGCCGTAGATTCTTGGGGGCAGGGAGGGGGGGGGAGACAGACGTTGCATTAATTGCGTTGAACTTTCTAAATGTTCGTTGTTTCCTCCCCCGACCAGACTTGGGTCGCTGGTGCCGAGCATTGTAACCAGCCAGCCACGACTACCGGACATGCCACGGACCCTGACGAACAATCTAACCGGCCACGAGTACCAGACCATCCACAGGCACGAGAGTGCCGGTGGTACATTCCTTCGCAAGAATCGATGGTCATCGAATCGATGTTCACCGACCCCGTCCATGAACGCTCCCGAGGGTCCCCCCTCACCTTGCGTGGTTGAAGGAGCCCGACACCTTGCGGCACGTGGAGCCGTTCCCACCGCACACGCCGCACTTGTCCGCCTTGCTCCTGGAGCCGATGACGTGGTCGCAGCCGGCGCGCACGCACTTGCCCTGGACGCACACCCCAGAGTTGTCCGGCCAGCACGGGGTGCCGTCCACCACCTGCACGCGCACAGGCCGGGCCGCTGGTCGTTAGAGGGGGTTGGGTTGGGGGGGAGGGGAGTGTAGATCCCAACTACTAACGAGCTACACCAAGGATCCGCATCGCCAGGTCGGTGCTGCTGGGCGCGCCGCGCCAGGTACTCATTTGAGGCCGAAGTCGACCTAGGGGGAGGCCCAGGGCCGGTTCAGAGAATCGTCGAGGGGGGTTGTGCGTGAGCGCGGCGCGCTACACCGCTGCGCCACCGCTCCCCGCCAATGCAAGTAACGTACACGTGCTTCACGCACGCACACACGAGCCCGCGCACACCCACACATGGGGAATGTGAACATTTTTATAGTCCGCCTCCGTTTACTTTCATTATTTATGACGAGAGCCGCCAGGAATGACGGCGATTCGAGCCAAACTCCCTCCGACCCCCTCCCTGAAACTCGAGGGGGTGGAGGAAGAGGGGGGGGGGGTTTGTGCTGCGGCCAGGAAATGCATCGGCTTTGTTTACTTTGAGATTGTGTTGTGGGGAATGAGCGGCTACGCGCACGAAAATTACGCGCGTAGCCCATCATCGGCCGTGACTCAAGGGTTTCGGGGGGCATGGGCGCTGGAGGAATGCACGGGAGAGGCACGGGAGAGGCACGGGAGAGGCATGCGCAGGTCGCGAGATTCGCGTGCGTGCGCGCCGCGTATGTATGCGCGCGGGAGCGGGTGGCTCGCTCACAGCACGTGCCTCCTAGCCTGGCACACGTGTGGATACGCACACGTGTGCCACGCTAGGTGCGCTTTATGCAAAGTTCACTGCAACCAAATCACGCACGTTCACACACACACACACACTGGCTGCGAACTCGGCTCGCCTGGGTCGCAGCGCAGCGCGTTTACACGATGCGCCGCCAACTCGTCGCACTCGAGTGCAGGCGGACAACCCGCCGCGTCACTAAGTGGTGGTGAAATCACCACGGCGCTTGTGCCAGGCTAGGTGCACTTCGAGGCCACGTGAAGCGAAGGAAGGCCCGCTGGCAGGAGGTCGCGGGACAGACCCAGGTGTTATGGGTTAACCGGCTAAGATGACTGGCAAAGGGGAAACAGGCGCACGCACACACGCACACGCGTGCGTGTCTCTGCCAGTCATCTCAATCGACTCATAACACCTGGCCGAGACACACACAAGCACACAAAAGACGAAGCTGCCCCGTATAGCCTCAACAGAGAATTGGGGCACGTGCTGTTTGCGAAAAACCTATAAAAGCCGACACGGCACAAAAGGGAGTGGGTGGCCAGCACCACGCCAGTGGCAATGCTTACACGCTGCACCAGCTACTATTCATTTGAGGCTGAGTCTACCTAGGGGAGGCCCATACACGAAGACTAAGATCTCCCGTATAGCCTTAACAGACTTTTGGGGCAAGTGCTGTTCGCGAGCATCACCTACGAAGGCCGGCACGGCACACGAAGAGGGTGTCGTCGCCAGCACCACGCACGGACACACGCACGCTCGCACGCACACACACACGTCACCTTGTGCCGCAGCATCGCGAACACGTCGCTGCCTCCGAGCTGGCACACGAGCTTGCAGCGGTCGCGCTTCGCCACGCCGGCGTACTTGGAGCGCCAGTGAGTGCTGCCCCCGCTGCTGCCCCCGGTGGGATGGAAGCCGCCGGGGAAGAGGCCTCCTCCGCCGCCGGCGCCGCTGCCGTTCTGCGCCGGCGCGTTGAAGGCCTCGCACTGCTCGTCGCGAAAGCTCTTCCCGTCTGCTGTCCCCGGGGGGGGGAGGGCACACGCACAGACAACACGCGCGTGTGAGCACATGACGCGTGTGAGCACATGACGCGTGTGAGCACATGACGCGTGTGAGCACATGACGCGTGTGAGCACATGACGCGTGTGAGCACATGACGCGTGTGAGCACATGACGCGTGTGAGCACATGACGCGTGTGAGCACATGACGCGTGTGAGCACATGACGCGTGTGAGCACATGACGCGTGTGAGCACATGACGCGTGTGAGCACATGACGCGCGTGGCATCGCGCGCGGAGGGAACGGACGAGCGACGGACGTGTATAATGATAACAATAATAATAATGGTCGGTTCAGGGGGCGTCCTGCCGCTGCGACATTGGCTTTTTTTTTTCGTGAGATGCTTTCAGCACCTCACGCTCGCAACTCGCGCGCACCGGCTCACACGCTCACGCACTCCCACGCGCGCCCGCTCGCGCCCGGCTCACCGGAGTGCGCGTCCCCGCACGCGAGGGTGTTGCAGGAGCGGTACTGCACGCGCTGCCCCACGCAGTAGGCGCCGCCGTGCCGGGGCTCGGGCGCGTCGCACCCCCTGGAGGAGAGCTGCACCCCGCCCCCGCAGGAGCGCGAACACTCGCTCCATGCGCCCCACTCGCCCCACTGGCCGTCCACCGGCACCTGCAGCGGCACAGCGGTAGGGTTAGGGCCAGTGATAGTACTAATGCCTAGCTGGGGTAGAGGTAGTACTCGTGGGGAGTTGGTTAGGGATAGAGTATTTGCAAGGCTATGGACAAGTGATGCAAGCAGGTCTCGTCATGCCATTGTTATGTTAATTACCGCCGTCATTGTCATCACCATTATGAATATCACCACAACCACCATCTTAAATATCATGGCTTCCATCACCATTCAAATTGTAACCACCACCAACATTCATCATAGTTAACCGCCTGTTATTACACTACCACCATCCAGTAGTTTCCACCACCACCATCCATTAATTATGATCACCACCAACAACACCCATCAATCACCACCACCATACAGTCATTACCACCACCACCACCACCCATCAATCATTACTACCACCCGCCACCACCGCACGGCCGCTCAGCTGACCTGCACTAGGCTGAGCGAGGTGACGCACTGCCCATCGGAGCACTCGCTGTCCAGCCCGCAGGCCGTGCCCTCGGCCCAGTTAGAGTGCCGCGTCTGGCAGCCCAGGAACTCGCTGGCACCCGCGCCGGCGGAGGCGAGGGCCGCCGATACATTGCGGCACCACAGGGCCAGGCACGGGACCTCGCCGGGCAGCGCGCAGTGGCGGAAGTCCGAGCCGAACACGGCCCGGCACTGAGCGTCGTGCGAGAGCAGGGCGCCCTGCGGCAGCGCTGACAGCGACTTGCTGTGCTTCAGGTTGTCCTTGAGGCAGTCGCCTGCGTGTTGCGGAGAGAGAGAGAGGCACACAGAGAGAGAAAGATGAAGATATTTTATTTTTTAGATACTGTTGCTGCCCCCCGATTCTATCCAAATGTTCCCGTCCCATGGAATTTACTCATTTTGTCATTTTGTTCGTGTGAATTTTCCAATTTTGAAAATACACTGCACAATTGACTATACCTGGCAAACCATTGCCCCCCTACTGGCAGACAAATTCCCCAGGTCACTCTTCCACATGAGACCCGTCCTGGTCTCTTGGAGTTCCCAGCCAGTTAAACAAAACAACCTCGCACGTGAATGTCTGTGTGTGCATCTGTGTGGGTGGCGGAGTGGCGGTGTTCATGGTTAGCGCGCCGCGCGAGCAGCCCGACATCGATTTCCGTCTCCCGGCTAACATCAGTGGCGAGCAGCATCTGAATCGGGCCTCGGCCCTACCCTCCACCAACTCACACGAACCAGCATTGTCAAGTATGATCAAACATATCCCCATGACTGGCTCAGGCTGGGGTGGATTGACAAAGAGCCTCATGCCATGAGTCGAAACGTCTTCTCGGAATTCTTGCAGTGAATTGGCTGTGGAAGGAGATACCTTTGAGATCCATCCCTTCAAGTGACCTTTCATGCACACACGAGGGGAGCACTGGGCTCTCACTGCAGGACTCTGCTACAGACTGAATTAAAAATAGCGATGGGACTGATATTTTTAAATCTCAGAGTTGGAATATAGCCACCATCGTGAAAAACCAATGTGAGTGTTTATTTTACGATCATTGCTGACCAAGATAAGACCACCAACTCGCTACACTTGAGAACCCGGTTTATTTATAAGTGGCTAAAATTCGGATCCCTCATCCCAACATCTCAGAGGTGTCAGTTTAGCACTCTGACCTCTGAGCCACCCAGCCACCAAGAGAGGGCGAGAGAGGAAGGGAGGAGGACCCCAGGATGGGTTCCTAGCTCCAGCTTCATGTTGCCTACAAACTCTGTTGGTTTTCCAGTCGCAAGTGATGGAGGTGGATTCACTTATTGAATGGAATGCGACGTCGGTGTTTGTTTTTCCATCAATGATTTTTTCTTTTAACCAGATGGTAGCAAATATACATAGACACAGGTCCAAGACAAAGATCCCCCGTATAGCCTTAACAGACAGTTGGTACAAAGTGCTGTTAGCGAGCTACTATGAAGGCGAGAACGGCATACGAGGGGGTGGCAGGCCAACACCACGCCCGGCCGCCTTTCTCTCCCCAGTGGCGATGTCTTTACGCACCGCACGAGGTACTCATTGGAGGCTGAGTCTCCCTAGGAAAGGCCCAGGACCGGTTCAGATAATCGTCACTGGGTGTTGGCCATGAGCGGGAATTGAACTCGGGTCGTCTGGTTCGCAGCACAGTGCGCTAACCGCTACACCACCGCTCCCCACTAAGACACACAGACAAAGATCCACCCCCCACGTATAGCCTTAACAGACTGTTGGGGCAAGTGCTGTTAGCGAGCAGCACCTATGAAGGCCGGCACGGCACACGAAGGGGGGGGGGGCTGCTTTCTGTTCATTACGAGGCAGCAGCTGAATAATACAATGTGCCGGCAGTTATAGGACGGTGTGCGTATCAAAGTGTTCACACGCTTCAAATGTCTCATCCCATCGCAACATCCGTCAGGCCTCGTCGACCAGCCGGGGTGCCTCCAAGTAGAATAAAATCGCAACAATCGCAAGGAAGATGACGATGATAACAATGATGATGATGTGAATGTGTTTTTAAAAATGTGTTTAAAAAAAAAACACATTCCAGGAAGACTCCTGGGTTCCATCCTCAAACACTCGCCTCACTTGGCCCGAGATGACATCAGTGCCGAGAGGTTTGTAAGGGACAGGCGGTTGGGCGGTGGCGATGGGGGAGGGGTGGAGATGATGGAGATGAGAGATGACGTCACTCACATCACTCACCGGTAAGCGGTTGTTGGAGGGGCGGTGTTGTGGTGGGACGGGGGGGGGGCCCAAGGGGGCGCTGAGGGGGAGATGGCGGTGGCGTTTGTGAGGGGGCGGACATTGGAGAAATGGGGCACGCAAAGATTTTTGGGATTTTTTCCCCCTTCTGGACGAGACAGATGCAGCCCACGTGACACTCAAAGCGAGAGGTAAACCATGAGGAACTAAATGTTCAGACGATCTGGAGTAAGACAAATATATTCCTGGCATCCATACATGAGGGAAAATCTGTCCTCTTGATGACGGACGGTGGTTGCGTTTGGGAGCAGCGTGGTCGTCTTGGAGGACCCCCCGCACACACCACCCCCCCCCCCCCCCCCCACGGTTATCGTCATAATTCCATTCGTTTATCCAGGGAAACAATGGCAAGTCTTGAGAGTAATTTTCCAAGCGGGGTCCCTGATACGTTGGGCATATTTGGTCGGTTCCCCTTCACGAGGGTTTGGCTTCGTGTGGGAGGAAAAAAAGAGACTCCCCAGAGAAGATAAAACACAGCAGAGCGCCACGACACGGTGTACATGATTCCACTTGCTGTGCTGCCAGACGAATGCCGGAGAAAACCTCCGACGCCATTGCAGCCGCCCTCACTACAGCAGCTGTGTGTCAAGTCGAGGCTTGGAGCGAGAGCAAGCGGCGATTGGAAGAAATCAGCCAACCAGCCTCATCACAGCCTCATCACACCCGCCTGCGTCACACCTGCTTCTTCACACCCGCCTGCGTCACACCTGGTTCATCACACCTGTCTGTGTCACGGCCGGCCACGTCACACGTGGCTCCATCACACCTGGCCTGGTAACCACCTGGCCTGGGGCACACGTGGCTCCATCACACCTGGCCTGGTAACCACCTGGCCTGGGGCACACGTGGCTCCATCACACCTGGCCTGGTAACCACCTGGCCTGGGGCACACGTGGCTCCATCACACCTGGCCTGGTAACCACCTGGCCTGGGGCACACGTGGCTCCATCACACCTGGCCTGGGGCACACCTGGCCTGGGGCACACGTGGCTTCATCACACCTGGCCTGGTAACCGCCTGGCCTGGGGCACACGTGGCTCCATCACACCTGGCCTGGTAACCACCTGGCCTGGGGCACACGTGGCTCCATCACACCTGGCCTTGGGGCACACCTGGCTCCATCACACCTGGCCTGCGTCACACCTGGCCTGGGGCACACCTGGCCGTGTCACACGTGGCTCCATCACACCTGGCCTGCGTCACACCCGGCCACGCCAGATCGAGACGGGTCGGCGGGGCCTCTCTGCCCCCAGGGTAGGGGGCATGGAGTGAGTCGTCGGGAGTGAGCGGCTTCCGCGTAAAAAAAAACCCCCAAAGATCCCCGTATAGTCTTAACAGTCTGTTGGGGCAAGTGCTGTTAGCGAGTAGCACCTGTCACGGCGAGTGCACGGCACACGGGGGGTTGTGGGGGGGGTGGCCAGCACCACGCCCGGCCGCCTTTGTCTCCCGAGTGCCAACGTTTCCACACCGCGCCAGGTACTCATTCGTTGCCGATTCGACCTAGGGAAGGCCCTGAACCGATTCAGACAATCGTCACTGGGTGTCGGGGCCGCGAGCGGGAATCGGACTCTCACCGTGCCCGTTGTCCAGGAAGTCGGTGAGGTGGCGTGCGCTGCACGTCGACCAGGGCCGCGAGGGCTCGACCCGCATGAGCGTCTCGCCCATGATGTGCGCCGTCGCCGCGGAGCCCGGCGGGGCGCCGCCGTTGCCGCCACACTGCTTGCTGTCGTCGTGCGGGAGGCCGAGCAGGTGGCCTGGGGGGGGGGGGGATTGGGGGGGAGCGTGACAATTGAGGTAATGTGCTCACATTGACAACTCGAATCATGGCGATTGAGAGGATACGAACGGTGAGAATGATAGGGATGACAATGCCAGCAGTCTTCTTTGGTTCTTTCGGTAAAGTCACGTAGAATGATAATAAAATAATAAATTGATAAAATAAAATAACACAATAATATTCTCACGACGTTTCCAGCAGTGACAAGATGGAAAAGTCAATCGCATTTTTACTCCCTAAATACCACGCTGACTAAACATTCAACAACGGCAACATTGTCGAGAGTGACGAGACGCCGATGGCGTTTGCACACTGATGCTTAAGGGCAGGGTGCATATGTTATGTTATTGTGCATATGTTATGTTATTATTGTTGATATAAACACGCTGTGGTAGATGGCGACACGAAGACATGTGCACGGAGCAAAGTGCGCGGAACTAAACCCAACGGAGTTTTCCCTAAAAAAAAAAGTAACATTCCAACGTGCGTCCGACACGCCAGGCACCACGTGTGAAGGTTGAGAAAACGTTCCCAAGTGGACGAGAGGCCGGGTCAGCAACGAGCGGCGCTCTGGCAGCCGAGGTGAGCTGGTTTCTAGGCAAGGGCGCAGCCCTACAATTTTCTCCTCGCACGCCACTTGGCCATCCAGAATGAGAATCAATTTATTTATGCTGGAGGAATCCGATGAGCTATAAAGCTCTTTTTACTAGACGTTCGACTAGAGGAAGCTAGTCTACTCTTTCACACTGGCCATGTATGTAAGTTGAAGTTCTTTCGCACCGTACGTAGCCAACCGTGCCAGCAGAAGTGGGAGCACCCACACTTTACCACACCACACCTGACCTACGGATCGACAATCCGTGTAGTACCCAAAATGCATAATAAAGGTTTTTGGGTTAGATCGCGTTTTTTAAAAATGTGTCGTAATTCTCCACCACCCGACATGGCCAAACAGTAAAAAAATGTGTCACGTTTACAAAGGACAAATAGTTCACGACTTTAGCCCACCGGTGTGTTGAAGAGTGAATCAACATTTAAAATTTGAGCACGCCGTTTCGCTGGCAGTTACATCCAGCATCATCGAGCAATTCGCCAGAATGGTAAAGCCCTCGCTTGCTCCCGGTCTTAAATAGAGCAGCAGGGTGACGTCATAATTTAACTCATTTTTTACTGTTTGGCCATGTCGGGTGGTGGAGGGTTACGACACATTTATAAATAACGCGATTTAACCCAAAAACCTTTATTATGAATAATATTGGTCGCGAAAGCCTACTACGTGTCAAACCCAAAATGCACACTGCTGGGTGCACAGGGGCAGCGAGGGCGATTTGAAGAAACTTTCCCCATCGTTTGAACCGCCACGCCGGGAGATCGAATCGGACCGGCGACCTTCTCTGGATCGCAACTCCGGCGCGCTGATAACCGTTAGGTCGCTGTGGCAGCTCGACCCGCACACAGAGCGTGTCGTTGATGATTTGTGTTGTTGATGATTTGTGTCGTTGATGATTTGTGTCGTTGATGATTTGTGTCGTTGATGATTTGTGTCGTTGATGATTTGTGTCGTTGATGATTTGTGTCGTTGATGATTTGTGTCGTTGATTATTTGTTTTGTTGATGATTTGTGTTGTTGATGATTTGTGTCGTTGATGATTTGTGTCGTTGATGATTTGTGTCGTTGATGATTTGTGTCGTTGATGATTTGTGTTGTTGATGATTTGTGTCGTTGATGATTTGTGTCGTTGATGATTTGTGTCGTTGATGATTTGTGTCGTTGATGATTTGTGTCGTTGATGATTTGTGTCGTTGATGATTTGTGTCGTTGATTATTTGTTTTGTTGATGATTTGTGTTGTTGATGATTTGTGTCGTTGATGATTTGTGTCGTTGATGATTTGTGTCGTTGATGATTTGTGTCGTTGATGATTTGTGTTGTTGATGATTTGTGTCGTTGATGATTTGTGTCGTTGATGATTTGTGTCGTTGATGATTTGTGTCGTTGATGATTTGTGTCGTTGATGATTTGTGCCGTTGATGATTTGTGCCGTTTACGATTTGTGCCGTTCATGATTTGTGCCGTTCATGATTTGTGCCATTGATGATTTGTGCTGTTGATGATTTGTGTTGTTGATGATTTGTGTTGTTGATGATTTGTGTTGTTGATTATTTGTGTTGTTGATTATTTGTGTTGTTGATTATTTGTGTTGTGGATTATTTGTGTTGTGGATAATTGTGTTGTTGAAGATTATTTGTGTTGTTGATTATTGTGTTGTTGATTATTATTTGTGGTTTTGATTATTTGTGTTGCTGATGATTATTTGTGTTGCTGATGATTATTTGTGTTGCTGATGATTATTTGTGTTGCTGATGATTATATGTGTTGCTGATTGTTATTTGTGTTGTTGATTATTTGTGTTGTTGTTGATTATTTGTGTTTTTGATTATTATTTGTGTTTTTGATTATTATTTGTGTTGATTATTATTTGTGTTGTTGTTTATTATTATTTGTGTTGTTATTATTTGTGCTGTTGATAACAACACGTGTTGAGAAAGCCGTCATATTGTGGTGTAATCGTCATAGTGTGGTGTAATCGTCATAGTGTGGTGTAACCGTCATATTGTGGTGTAATCGTCATAGTGTGGTGTAATCGTCATAGTGTGGTGTAATCGTCATAGTGTGGTGTAATCGTCATAGTGTGGTGTAATCGTCATATTGTGGTGTAATCGTCATATTGTAGTGTAATCGTCATAGTGTGGTGTAATCGTCATAGTGTGGTGTAATCGTCATAGTGTGGTGTAATCGTCATAGTGTGGTGTAATCGTCATAGTGTGGTGTAATCGTCATAGTGTGGTGTAATCGTCATAGTGTGGTGTAATCGTCATAGTGTGGTGTAATCGTCATAGTGTGGTGTAATCGTCATAGTGTGGTATAATCGTCATACTGTGGTGTAATCGTCATAGTGTGGTGTAATCGTCATATTGTGGTGTAATCGTCATAGTGTGGTGTAATCGTCATAGTGTGGTGTAATCGTCATAGTGTGGTGTAATCGTGTGAAGGCTCGGAGGTGCTGATAAGCGACTTTGGTATTTTCACCACACTGCTCAGTAACAGAGACAGAGTTGAAGCCACGCCAAAACATTCACACCAAAGTGCCGAAGCAAAGTCCTCCGATAAGGTCCCATTAGCCCAACCATTTCACCAAAACGGTTTATTTCTTTATTTATATTGGCCAGCATTGAGTTTAATTCCTCACTCTGTCGTGGGGCCATCAAACCCTGACTGTAGAAGGAAGGCTGCTGCTGCTGCTGATAAAATGGTACAAAGTCGGCGGTTCTCAAACCGGGTAACACGGGGACCCCTGGGGGTACGTGGTGATACCCGAGGTGATTTGTCAATGTGCCTGAGACTATCACGTATCATTGCGCTTAACATGCTTACAATTTTGGCGTTCATTTATTTCTCAGAACCATGTTGGAACCATGTTGTTGGGGTCAGGCAAACGGGATGGCTCGGGTTTGAAACAAAATTCAACAAGGCGGGGCAACAAAGGTAGCCAAAGCAAAAATAAAGGGTTGAGAATCACTGGTTGAAGTGCCTTCGCGCTTTAAGGGATTCATAGTCCGTGAGTGAGACACCCACGACGCACGCACCGCGCGTGCCGTGACAGGGAGGTGGCCAGCAGGCGGCTTCAGGGGGCTGCTCAGGACGCTGAGCCGGCCACGAAAGCTCAGCGACTGGGTGGGTGGTGAATGCAGGTGGTGGCTTTCGAGGTGGCTCGTGATTTTATCCACAATAGGGGGGGGGGGGGGAAACTAAAGCGACAAAAAAGACACGGAAGCCAAATTCACGTAGAAGCTGAATTTGACACTCAAATTCGGTAAAAAATAAAATCCATATATGTGAAGTACAGCGTGTCGTCCTTCCTCCGCACCTCCTTCGATTGGCATGGTTCGCTACGTACGGTGCGCGAATGAAGTTCAACATACGTGCAACCCCCCCAAATATATATATGATTGAGGTGTAATGAACCACTGTGTGCAGTGCAAACTAAACACGACAGCACTGACTTGAGCAGTCGTTCTGGGTGGTCAGCACCACGCCTGGCCGTATTTGCTACCCCGGTACTGACGCTGACTCCACACCGTACCCACAAAGACAAAGATCCTCCGTATCGTCATAATAGGCGCTGTTCGCGAGCACCTATGAAGGCCGGCACGGCACACGAGGGGGTGGGGGGGGGGGGTGGCCAGAATCATGGCCGGCCACCTTTGTCTCCCTAGTGGCGATATTTACACATCGCACCAGGTACTCATTTGAGGATGAGTCCACACCGTACCCACACACACACACACGCGTGCACGCACACGCACGCACACACACAGGCATGCGCACACAAAACAAACAGACATCCCAAACACACAACACACACCCCGGCACATGGAGCCTACGTTTCTATGGCAGAGGGGGGGAAAAAAACCCCATAACAGCCGCACGTGAAAGTGTCGAGGAGCAAAGTGTCAGAGTTTCCGAGGCATCGCAGTGCGTGATGGATGCGCGGAGAGGAGACACGTGGTCAGACCATGACCCACGAATGTGGCTGTGGTCCCAACGCCTCGCCACTCCAACCTCAAGATTCCCCCTCCCTCTCTCCCGGCAAGAGCCTAAGCAGTACCCAGAATGCGTGACAATTGTATTATTGTTCGAATAGACGACGGGCAAGAGACTTAAATATTAAAATACACGGACAGTATTTGGTGCTGCTGCTGCGTTGACAGCGGTGCACAAAAACAACAACTCGCACTGTGTCAATAACAACACCGTGTGGCCTTAAAAATAAAAAAAACCCAATATGATAGCTTGCAACGTTTCGGCCAATTGCCCCTTCTTCACAGCGCGTAAAGCGAGAAGCCAGGCGAGAGATGGAGTGGATAGTAAGAGTTATCTCTGCTTGGCCTGCTTTGTATCCGTCTTGGCGTTACA